AATATTCTAAGACAATCATTAGGTTTAAACAAAGAATCCTTTTTTGAAATTCAAACTTTGAACTTCTCCTTTGCTGAGCTAGACCTGATTTAAATACCGGACGAAGGAGCTTCGTCAAATTCAGCAACGGGAGCCCGAGAGGGTTGAGCAAAACAAAACCAGAGGCGTCAGGAGCATTGGAAGCCTCCGGCTCCCTGACAATCTCATGCTGATCCGTCGATCTTGGATAGCCAACTTACGTTTGACCCTCAGTTGTATTCCGAGCTGTCCCCCTTTTTCTTTTTCTTCGGCATTTACACCCCCTATTTGAGTAAGGCTGGAAAGTCTCCTCCAACATCAAATCAATCTTCCGCCCTTTCTATCTCTATCTCTCTGTCATGCTCTTCTTCTTCGCTTGAGGACTAGCAACGGCAGTAGTGGCTTTCCTTTTTTTTTATCCACACTCTGACCGAAGACAGATCTTAAGGGGACTCTGTCCATTTTATCTGAGTCCTGATCTTCTTCTACCCTCTTCTGGATTTTCTCTCCAGGTTCAGGCAATCTTTCTGGTGCCGAAACTGCCTGACCACCTCAACGAAAAAGATGCACCAATCCCTTTGGCCTTACCTTATGACCTTGGCCAACTTTATTCATCCCCCTTTTATCCCCTCACAAAAGCAACTCACACATCGTCATTCGGAGGAAGAGCCCCTCCGCTTTGAGTGCTATGGGGGTCTTTATTTCCTTCCTTTTCTTATTGGAAATCCTCTGTAAGCCTTTTTCTCTGCCTTTTTTTTCTCAGGCGCGAAGCCCTATCGCTGACGAAGTATTCGTCATCTTCAAACAACTGTTCTCCTCGTCTATCACTCAACCTTCTTTCTCTTGCTTTTCTTCCATTCCAAGATCTGTTGCAAACGAACTGATCTGTCTTTCTGGCTTCTGGCCTACTCAACTGTGGCAGTCAGTCAAAAAAGTGCTTGAATAAGGGATGTTCTCTCTCTCAAGGATATCAGTGTACTCCTTCCAAGCGTCAACTAGATCTCTAGACCGCATGGCAAATCCCGGCCTGATCATAGCCCTACGGACGAGCTAGTCTATGGTGGCTATATCTCTCTAAGAAGGCAAGGCCCTCCTTAACGAAAAAATCAAGAGCTTTTTCAATAGTGAATAAAATGTTCAAATGCTCTGCCATATTGGTATGAGCGTTAAACCAGTCAATACTTCCATGAGCATGACTATAAATCCTTGGATTTCTTCTTCCTGTCCTGGCGAGAGACCCTATATGACAGAGGTAATCCACTTATGAGTCTGTTCTGTTCCTGCCCCTTATACTAAGTAAGTCCGCCGTTTTGAAGGGCGTTAAGTCCAAAAATGGTCCACAGTCCACAGAATGAAAGAGCAAAGAAAGAGAAGCGTAACAATACGGCATCAACAGTCAGAACAGCATCTTCAGTGAAAAGCCAGTTCATCTCAAAAATATCCTTCCATTCCCTCGTATACTACGTCAGCTGTTATATCAGCCGCTCTTTCACTCCTTCATATAGGGGCTCTTAGTCTACCGGGAGAGGGGGGGGTGAAAGATGCAAGATCTAGCTGACTAGCCTTATTCCTTTACTCGCATCATCTGGCTCAAGCTTCGCCGTATCTTACTCATTGAAGAATGGGCTCCCTGTCCCAAGCAGCTGCAACTCGTGCTCGCTCGTCACTAAACTCTTTTCTAATGAGATCATCTGCCTTCTGCGACCCTTACCTTTCAATGGGAATCTTACTCTACCACTACTGTCTCTTAGTTGTTTCAGAATCTCCATTTTCAAGCTTTCCGCTCATGTACCTCCTCATGCTAAGCTTCAGACCAAGCCAGTCAACCCTCTTAAGCCAGATATCAGGTCCCTGCTCATGAGGAACCTTCCTCAGCACCAAATGTGTAGCACTCTCCAGACATCTCCGCAGCTGCTGCTAAGCTTTCGAAAGAACTGGAGCACTATCAACACATATCTCAGATGCAGAATCAACACCAACACACTCGGAATAGGCAAGGAAAGAAGCCCCAAGGAAAACGAGTTAGCCATTTGACAGCTATATGGGATCGCGCTTTTGCTATCCGTGTGAGTAGCCGGAGCTTGTATCTTCGAGAGAGAAGGTCACGAACCTATGAATCTCCCTCTACGGAGTCAACATAGTCAATTCCAGGTTCAAACTCATGCCCCAATCATAGCTTAAATCCAATGTTTGGAGACTGGCTTTCATAATCCTTAGCTAGATGCTTCTTAACACATGCAAGTAGAATCTTCTGAACATTTAACAGGAATGAAACGTAACGGGAGGAGCCAGAAGAGATAGTCAGAAGTGGGGCTTAATTGTCATATAATCTGCTTGCCTAGAATGCCCTTTTCTCTCCAGCTTTGGCAGATGAAGCAGTGTTACTTGGTCAAGAGGTCTAGGCGAGACTACAAGACTGAGAGGTGCCTTTGCCTATAACCTTACTGTAGACATAGCTCACTAATCTTTTGGTAAAACTTTGACTACCAATCCCTCTTCTGGAAAGAGAGTTCCTCTCTCCGTTACACCCATAATGGAGTATGCCCATTCTTCCCTAGGAGACTTCGATCATTCAACTTTCGCTTCTGACCTGTCTCATTATCAACCAGAGCCTGTAAGAAAGTGGAGTTGGCCGGGTTTGGTCTCCCGCTCTGGTGGCATAGTGTAAATCCTGTTGCTACTTACGTTGCAGGAATGCTCTCCGACCTTGATCTCCCGGGAGCATCTAATCTTTCTACCAGAGAGGATTCGAGCTATGTCTTAGGCTTTTCCTCATGAGTCTCTTCGGCGCGAAAGCCTGTTTCCCAGTGGATTAGAAGCAAGGAGAGGAACGAAGTCCAAGCCATCACATACACAGAAGACCTTTCCGCTCCTTGGTGACAGTTCATAGCTTCTGGGATGTGTCCTTTCTTTTAGTCGGTTTTGGTTGAGAAGATAGTTGGCTAATTCTTATTTAGAGCAGGCAGGCTTCGACCCTTTCCCGTTAGCGAGGTCCCTTGTCTTGCATTTGCATTTCTCGTACTAGAAATGCTTCCATTTTCGGACTATCAGCTTAGGACGATCATCCTTTCGTCCTTCCGATCCCACTCCTTGATAGCGTCTTTCTGAGGTGAGACAGTTAGAAAAAACTGGAAAGAAAAGGCTTCCCAAACCGTTCGCTTTAGAAGAGAATGATAATAAATGAAAGAAATGCGCCTATGTTCTATTCACCCCTGTTGGGGTTGAAGTAGGTGCACCAACGGCTAATATCAATATAGTTCGTGTGCAGTGAGGGATCTTTCCTTGATTCTAGTAAGGGGAATAAAGTGTTTTTACCACTAGGTTTGTTTGCATCCACAAATGGATGATTATCCCAGTTGTGATCGGACAGCCAGTTGAGTGAGCGTTAGCATTACTTGTTCCAGTTCTTTCTCGAGATAGCGCCCTTATCCCTAGGCTAGGAAGGACTCACATCTTTTTCATGTGGGAAGCTTGGAACATCAAAATGGATCAGGCTGTAGACTGTCTGCTATTTCAATTCCTTCTTTATAGTATAAGGGTGCCCGTAGCCAGGGAATGGGGGAGAGCAATTAGGAGTGAATTTTGAACATACGCGATCCTTGAGGCATTAGGAAGGGGCGTCCCCTCAGTTAGATGAGGATGACAGATAGATCCCTGCGGAGTGACTTTCTCAATCCACTTTCTTCTCCTGACCAGGTAAATCTCTCCGTATGTAAGTGTTTGTGTAGCTTATAGCAGTTTCTCGGGAAAACGGAACACACTCCACCCTTGTGGCAATAATATTCATACTTGGTATTGGTGGTACGCTTGTTTGCCTGTATTCCGTAGTTTGGGGCTTACTCACTGATACGTACCTTTACTTTCTTGATGCTGAAGGGAATGTGGTAGGGGCAGTAGGAGAATGCTTTATGAGAAAAAAACCCTCTTCAAACTCAAAAATGTGTTAGAAGGCAAGTCCAGACTTTCTATGACCAGAATAGTGAATCAATCGTACTGCTACCTTTGACGGCGAGGAAGAAGCTCTGTTATTACTATTACTATATTTCATTGCCCTTAGACATAACCCCCATGTCGGGTAAACTTCATGACTAAAAGGAGAAGCGGAGGCTTATGATTGGCAAGGCAGATTTGTCGAACAAAGGCCCCTGTCTTGCTTAATAGTAGACCTATCCTTAACCTTCATAAATCAAAGTTCCGAAGAATCTCGCTAGATAGTCACAAAACTTTCCAATACCTAAGGGTTCATTCCCAGAAGTGGCCTCGACCCAAGCATCAAAGAACAGATTTGATCACTATCACGCTAAAGTCAAGCATCGACGGATAAAGAATATTATGGTGAGCCTGGAGGATTCCAATGGCATCTGGAGAGAAGATGGACAGGAGGTTCGAAATCTTGTCGAACATGTTTTTCAGCAGCTTTATTCGACATCAAACCCCGTGGATGCAATTCATATTACGGATTTCATTCACTCGAAGGTGTCTACAACTCAGAATGACTGGCTGCTTCGAGTAGGGACGGAAGAGGAGATACGAACAGCGCTTTTCGAGATGAGCCCGCTCAAGGCCCCTTTAATTAAAGCAAGCAAGCGTACCAATACTAAGTCATTAATGTTCTTACCGTTGATTAACACGGGAGAGGAAGATGGTGATGAGGAAGAACTTCGCGGCTGCTAAGTCAGGTAAGCGGGCGCAAGGGAACAAAGGAAAGTTCTGCCAGTTGCTGATTTGAGTTCTAACCCTTTACTCGCGTAACCAGTCTGACATACTATATATCCCGATTCCGAAGGTGAGCCTACTTCGTCGTAGAAAGTTCGGCCAGAGACATCAAAGGAAGGGACCGGTAAGAGAGGTCCCAGTACACGACCCCGGAGTGGTGGCAGTAGGATAGCTCTAATAGGGGTAGGCTTCTTTTCCTTCATCTCTTCTCTTTCTTATTGATTCTGACGTATATCACTTTCTAAACCGGGCCGTCAGAATTTAACCTTAACGTATCAGGGTAGTACGCCTTGAACAATCAAATAAGGTTCGTCGTACAATTTCGGCGATTACTCAAAGAAAGGAGTATATCCCTCTCCCTTAGTGTCTTTCCACTTCCGTCGTTCAGGAACAAACACCTCGCCTAATTCTTTAGAATCCCGTCCTGGTTTTAGCCACTAACCAATTACGTTACCGTTACGACCACTGAACAAACTTGGTCGACGAACATGGTTTATGCGCCGCTAATGTAGCGGCTTGTCGAGCATTTGACAAACTCACACCATCCATTTCAAATGGGATTTGTCCCGTGGACACACGAGCAATCCAACCCGTAGGATTTCCTTTTCCTCTTCCCATTCTGACTTCATTAGGTTTCCCGGTAATAGGGAGATCTGCGAGAACTCTTACCCATATCTTACCATTTCTTCGGAATTGTCCGCTCATAGCACGATGGAATTGTCCTATTATAGCCCGACGCGCTGCTTCAATGGCTCGATATGAAAGACGACCAGCTCCACAACTTTGAGTGCCATATCTTCCAAAACTGAGTTGTGTACCGTCCGGTTTGCAACCCCTACTACATCTGCCTTTACTATATTTAGTATATTTCGTATGTTTCGGATATAATAGCACGTCCCCCTTTTTTAACTATATGAAATCCACACTTTGACACCTGAGATTCCGTAACGAGTAGATACTTCCGCAGGAGCATAATCGATTTTCTGGTGAAATACATTACGAGATGTTTTTCCATACTTTCCGCATTCAGTTCTAGCTATTTCTGCACCTTTTAATCGACCTGAACAACATATACGGATCCCCTCCACCCCTTTTACGAATTTCAGATCCTTGACTATTTGAGTCAAAATGGAACGAAATGATCTTCTTTTTTTCCTCGGTTGAAAAGAGATGTCTTGAGCAATCGGAGAAGCACTTTGATAAACAGATTGGATCTTGACCGACTCAATTAAGGTATTAGTGTTTGTTCTATTAGACAGCAAAGATCGCATTTTTTTCACTTCGTTCAAATAAGAGTTGTACCCATACGGAATTCTTCTCTTTCTCAGTATGATCTCTATCATCATCTCTATGGACTTTCTCAATTCTCCTATCCCACCTAGGTCTATGAATTTCTCTATCAATTCCATTACCTTTTCCTTACCCATGAGTTTCCAACATTTTCTCCTTAATTGACCTAGGAGTTGTTCCCGGACATTCTCAAAAAAGGGGTTCTTATACACCCCAACCCCATCCCTTGGAAAGAAAAAGGTAGCACCGAAGAAAGGAAAGATCGAGATGGTGGTTTTTGTTGTTCCCGCGAAGCGAAGATCATTAGCTTGGCTAATGAAGTGTGTCAACCTCTTTTTGGCTTCGGCCAAACACTTTTGATCGCTGGTCGAGCTTTCTACAAAGAAAGCGATGCGAGAACGTATTCTCTTATCTAAGCTTCTTCCCTGTGCATTAGCTCCCCCCATCGTAGATGGTTCAGCCACGCCCGGTGCCACGAAATGATTGAGAACTACTAAGGGGTCGAAATCCATTTGGTTCTTTGTATTCAATAAGTATTGCATGACCGAATAATGAAAGGAAGGGTGCACTGCAGGGAGGGTCCTTTTAAGTAGATGACTCGTCGGGCCGTCGGAGCGGGACTTCTTTGGGAAAAAGAACTTGAATAACTTCGATTTTCTCAAGGAGTTGTGTGTTTTTTTTTCTATCAGGAACGCTATGTCATTTACAACCCCGGCGTATTTCGGATGCTTGAAGGCCCCGCTGACCCGAAGTGATTTAGAAAGATTCTTCTTCTTTATCGATGGTGATCGGTCATGGTATCCATAGCCTTGCTTCTTTTGAGGCCAAATCCGGATTTCGTTTTGTTGCTTCTCCCGGTCTGAGAGCCTGATCGACTCGACTCTTTTCCCTGCCCCACGGCCTCTCACTTCGTTTCGTTCTGATTCTGTACCGTCGCTTGAATGAAGACACCTGATCGGCCCGACTTTCCCAAATGCCCACCACTCTTGTTTTTTGGATATTTTGCGTCGTTTCAGTCGTCGTGGTCGACGGGGAAGAAAGAAATGAATGAATGTTCTTTTGGGAAAATGTAGAATAATACACCTGCCGAGACGAAAGCCAAGGGTGCGTCTCGTAGGTGGACGTATCGAACCAAAATAAGATCTCAGATTGACATCTTGATACACTGATTTACCATAATAATAAAGAGAGTCAATGGTGACTCCGCCGTGGGAAGAGCCGCTTCTTTCTTGCTTGATAGGGGCATTTCACCAGCGCAGACTAAAAGTGCTCTCCAAACCGTGCTGGATAGTCACCCATCACACGGCTCTCAAACCAAACCCGTGGTTGATCCCGGGGGACAAAGTCAAAGCGCTTGATCCTTTGCCCCATACTTGGAGATGCTCCTCCCCGCCGATCAAGCAGCGACGCTGCTCGTGATAGGCTTAGCTTTAAGCCGCTATCGTTCGGTTCGGATAAGTCAAGTGTCCCTTCGGTCGGTTCTCTCCGGTGGTCTTCCCTTATCTTCCCTAACGTTCAGAGTGGTTCTGGTTTGAGAAAGGAGCACCGGCCGAGCGCCCTGAATGAATAAGAAATGGACAGCAGAGGGAATTGCGGATTCTTATTCGACCGAGTTGAAGCTAGCAACATGTCGATTACACACCGGAGATTGGTAAGAACTGAGGCTCGAGAGACCTAACCTAAGTGGGCCTACCAGCGAAGCACCTGTTGATCGGGCGGGGGGCGGTTTTTTGGTTTCGTGCAACGCCCTCGCAGCGGGAAGAGGCAGTTGTCATTTGAAAGTCAAGGCCCTTCCCCTTTTCTACGAATCTACAACTCTCTTTACTGAGCGAGACTCCACTTTAGTATTCATATTCCATTCTATCATTTGTTTGACAGCTTAAACTAGGCTCCACTTTAGATAGGTTTTCGGTCTTCATCAAGATAGGTCAAGGGGGCGCGTCGGAACGGTCGGTAGCTGCTTAGTCTCATCCGAGAATCTCTTTCTGCCTTTTTTCAAAGAAAAAAAAGAAAGAAGGGGGTCGATTTAGGCTCCTTCCCTTCCACTGCATAGCTGCGCTAGCAGGTACTACGAGCCCTCTGTCCCACGCATATAACCAGCTCGCGTGGTTCACCGGTTCCACCGAAAACTCTCATTTGTTGAAGCGGAGCATAGTGCGCTTTAGGCGCCGAGCGAGAAACATCTCTTCTTTCGTTTCGGTTTATTCACTGATCTGAAACTGAGCACTTGTTTTCTTATTGATGTAAGGGGCGGCGGCGTTCTTGAATGAAGTCTATCCGAACCGAATTAGCACTTCTCAGATCAGGCTAGGCCTCTCCGGCTGAGCCGGGCTAGGGTCCCTGGATGCGCTAGCGATTGGCACATAGGGGAGTGGTTGCCGGGCTTTCTCGGCCTGGTATCCTGCACCTCGCGTTCATGATATCTACATTCAACTGTGCCCCGGAGACAGGGTCGAAGCACGCCCAGTGTGCTTCTTTCACGACATGCTCTGGTCCCGGGTGTCTTCCAGTGGTCTTCTAGCGTTAGAAGAAGTCGTGTCCGTCCCGGACATCTGCAGCGTCCTCCCACGCCTTTTTTGATTTCAAATGCAAATATGGGACAAACTCGCGGAAAAGCCCATTCGGTGACTTTCGCGGTCGCCCTCACTGAACCGACTTGAATCTGAACTACGATTCAGACCAAGTCTTACCGAAATAGGATTTCCTATTCGTGCCATATGCGCTTAGACTTGACTTTTCCCCCTTTTTCTTCCTGGTCCAATCATTTTTCTCGAAGGTCTTCGTTTCCGTGTAGAAGCAAACTCTCCAAATTTATGACCAACCTTTTTCCTTCAGTGATCTTACAACGAACAGGAGTTTTTCCATTGTGAATTCGTACGGAGCAATCAATGAATTCCGGCGAAATAGAAGATCTCTCTTCTTCTTCATTCTCAACATACATGCATCAACAAAACGAAGTATGCGCGGCATGAACTCATTTCTTCCTTTCCCCGCCCCTGCCCGAAATCCTGCTTTGGTGGGCTGGCTTCCCCCAAGGTGGAGACCGAAAAGGTCTACCTCCTTTCATGCGCCCCTCCCCTCCTCCATGAGGATGATCCACTGGATTCATCGCAAGACCACGAACACCAATGGGGCGTCTGCCTAAGCACCGGCTTTGTCCAGCTTTTCTAAGCTTACGTGCACCATTGTTGGGATTGGAAACTATACCAATAGTCGCTCAGCATCGGGAATCAATGAGTTTTTCCCGAAGGTAGCCGCACAAGCCTAAGGGAGAGTGTAGTGTAGGGGGTGCTGGTTCCTTCATTATTTTAGCAAAAGTTCCTTCGGCTCGAGCCAGCTTTGCGCCTTTGACCTGGATGACATTCAATATAATCCATGTTCCTATACGTATATCGGCTAATGGTATGCTATTTCCGATTTTAGAATTTAGAAAAAGTATATAATATCTATAAGCAGGGGGGCGTGGCCAAGAAGCAGCCAGCTGACCCTTTCATTCGCCCTTTCTTCGCTGTGTGAACAAGGTCTTAGTATGTATGGGCATTCTCTGGTCAGGTCGCAATAAGTCGCTGGCCGAAGGTTTAGACCAATCGCAATTCATCACCATCTTTCCCGCTTCTAATTGATGACTGGCTATTATATAAGTGTTGACCTAAGCCCCTGTGCTGGGGCTCGGCTACCGAACCGTACGTGAGCTGCCTCGTACGGCTCTTCCTAAGAACTTGAAGCCCCCTCTCCCTAAATAGAAATTTCTTTGAAATTTACAAAACTTTTTCAAAAAGCCTTCGCCTTTGATAATCAACGTGAATCAACACTTTGACTTAGTATTGGTTTGCTAGCATTCCTTCCTTATTAGGGGCTATTAGAGAAGCTGCTTCGTTCCTTGACACTTCTTTGCTCAGCAAACTTCCTTGTTCCTTAGTGTAGTCTCGGTCCATAGTGGAAGACTCCGTTCCTTATAGCCTAGTCTATATCCACAGCTGACGTGACTCCGTACCGACGCCTTTCTTCCCTTTGTAGACGGCTAAGTGACTTCGTAACCTTAACGTACTTTCTTTCTGACTGTAGCATAGGCGCCTTCGTCGGGCTTTCGTCCCTTCGCCTATAGGCGGCTTGGCTTCGCTATCGCTCATGACTTGGTATAGAGCCGTGTCGTCGTCGGCCTTTCGAATGCCTCCTTCCTTACTTTTGTGAGAATTGACTACTATAAAGGACAGGGGGCAGTTCACCTTTGGAAACTTAGCGACTGTCGTACTACTCAATATGTGAAGTCAAGGCGAACGGCATTCTGTTGTACAGCTATTTCATATTAATAGTACAACAACTGTCGTACTACTAAACAAGGCAAGGAAACCCTCGGTTCCCTTTGTTTGAATAAACGCCGCCTATTTGAGTTTACATTCATTACAAAGTCAACCAAGCCTAACCGATCACGACATGTTGTTTGTTGATATTTATTGAGGAGTTTGGTGGAGTTTAGCTGACTGAATCCATAAACCGTCAAAGTCACCGTCACTGTTTTTTGACTCGTTTAGGTAGGTCTCGGTGAAGCTTGCGTAATGTAGTTGTAGTTAAGGCTGCATTGAAGTAGCTCTTTTTCTTTTTGATTTAAAGATCTACTCACGTACCAAAGGCGAACGGGGCTCCCAGGCCGGGACGTCTGTCGGAATGCTTGGCCTCCTGCGCTGGAAGCCCGAAGGGTGAGCTTCTGGCGGTTAGCTTAACGCACTAGATAATAGGCTCTGAGCTGGAAGGAGGCAAGCAAATGAAGGGAGACATTACGGGCCGACTACAAGAAGCAAAGCTTCGTAGACTCGACAAGTCGCTTATAGAATGCCGACTACTAAGTGAAAACTTTCCACTTCATAAGGGAAGGGGGAAGCGAAGCTTAGCGAGCTTTATAAGGCCGACCACTACATAAGCCGCTGGCGGAGAAAGCTCTTCGAGCTTCCCTTCACTCGTTGCTAAGCCAAGGTCCCAGGTCTCCGAGTCAGCCCTAGCTTTTTCGAAGAATCCTGCACCCATGGGCATACGGCCTGGCAGGCCTTCCCTTTCCGCCGGAGCTTCATGGGCGTTGCCCCGTTCCCCAATCAGATGTTTGGATGTGAGCTATACTCCGCGAGGAGCCAAACGGGCGTATGGCCTTGTCTTGCCATTTGACCTCTCTTCCCGTGTGACTAGGAATGCTCAGTGACAACCTCTCAATTGTCACCGCCTGGCCTCTCTTGCTACCACGGTAGCGCCTAGTGTGGTCAGCACCAATCGTGTTCGGGCAACGAAGCTTACACTCATTCACATTGGTTCATCCTGATATGCCCCGGGCCTTTTGCTCTTCTAACGTCAAAGGTGGCCGGCCATTCGTCAAGGCCCAGGAATCCGCTTGACATCTGAGCGGCGGGATTGGATACCCGCAGTAGATCGAAGTTCTATTTGAGTGCCCCACTAACATAAAGGAGAGCTCGTTCTAGGTGGGTCGCTTCGCGCAAGCACATTGCTTAGGACCAACGGGTCACACGACAGGTGCACGATCGACTTTGCACGTTCCATCCTTCGCCCCTTCGACTATCGGCTTGGCAGGCAAGCTACCTTGATCCGTCTTCGGCTTCGATTCGTTATGCTCAGCAGCTCCAACAAGCCCTAAAGTCTCTTGACGCCTAAAACTCTGCCAAGAAAGTGCAGCTTTACGTTTGATCCTATGTGACCAGAGAATGCTATGCGTTCTCCACTTTCGGATCTCGCAAAGAGAGAACGTATTTTGACCTCTGACTTTATCCCTCATTCTAGGAGCGAAGAAAGCGGGCTTTGCCCCAGCTACCGCTATCCGTGGGAAACCAAAAGAGCTACCGAAGGAAAGGGGCGCAGTCTCTCCCTTGGCCTTTGGAGAAGATAGGGCAGAGAATAAAACATCCTTCGCGCAAGTTTTTTTGCTTCCTGCGCCCTTACTAGTAAAGGGGCTCTTCGACCAAGGGGGCATTCTGGTAGGAAGGCCAACCACTACATAAGGAGCCATCAGTCCAGGAGAGAAGCAAGCTACCCTTCTTTGATCCAACTTCCCCGGAAGGGAAGAGAACGAAAATGGACCTAGGATGGTAGTCGTGGTAGGTTCGAGGATCTTACGCGGCGGAGCTAACTCTTCTATCGTCTTGCATTTCCTCTGGCGGCCGAGCTGCACCCCCTCGATCCATCGTACTGGAGCGATTCGAGAAGAACGATTAGGGTCATATTCTATCCTTTCTACAATGCCCATAGACGAAGTACTTCGTTTCAGATCAATTCTTCGCTGCAATCGCTTCGATCCACCCCCTCGGTGAAAAACAGTAATACGACCTGAGGAATTCCTACCAGCAGACTTACCTGTACTCAAAGTGAATTGTCTAAGTGCTCTCCCTTCTTGGCTTTGTCTCATTGTCTAGATAGTAAGAATTCGATTCCGTCCGAATTAGCTCCTACTCCTACTCCTTCTCTTCCTTCATCGTCGTTGGTCCTTTTGACATAACATTCTCGACCGCCTCCGGTACGGTAGGTCGACCTGTAGCCAGTGACTAGCTCAGCTATGGAGGTGTATACCGCCACGTCGAGACTCTCTTTCGAAAGGGGGATCACCACCGGCTTTAAGAAGAGGGAGCCGGAGGCTTCCAAATGCAGCCGTGATCTTATATACGATACCACCAGACGCACCACCTTGTTCCATCCGCCAATCAAGGAGGCTAGTGGAGCGAAGGGAGCCAAAAAGGGTGATTGACGAGCGCGGATACGTGAATCGGTGCCTTTCGGTCCCGGATCGGTTGTTGCGTCAGAATCACCAGATTGGATCGGGTCTTCTGCCTGCGCCAATCGCTAGCACTTGACTTTTCCGCGTCTTGGCCTTTGCACTTGTGACACTTTCAGTAGGCTTCTCCTTTCTACGCTAATGATTTTCTTGGTTTTGATTCCCCACTCGCCGGGTAGCTCCCAAGAGAACAAGAAAGAAAAGCGGGGTCTGAAATCAAACTCATACTCATCCGTAAGTTCAAAGAATGGAAAGAGATGTTACGTTCTTAATGAAATCGTGCGTTTTAAGCAAGATTTACGCTGCGATAGGAAATCCCTAGACACGGGGCTCTCTCATGCGCTAAAGCTCACTACAATGGGCATAGAATAGGTTTTCTGAGATCTCCCTGAAAACTTTCACTTTCATTTAAGACATAACTATACATAATCAATTCTTGAGTGACGAATGGTCGAACCCCTAAAGCCGCCATCTGGGGATGAGGAGACTTTATTAGTTAAGGGCTATCATAAGAATTTTCATCATTGTTGGATAAGGCCAGCAAGGCTAGCTAGATGCTTAAGACATGCTTGTCACACCCTTCTGAATCAATTACAGCCTCGTAGAACACCTGACCTGCTTACTACTGCATGAACAGGGAAGCGTCAACCTATCACCTCAAATCTCCGAACATTACAGACAGCCGAACTGGGGGTGGTCACGCTTGTCGAGCGAGCTGCCGTCACGATGTTCCCTATCGAAAGTGAAGTATATGGCTATCGAACTCTCTCTTTTAGCTAGTTCCTGGTCGGGTCAATGGAAATCCTTTTTCGCCTTTTCTCGTAGACAGACCACTGAAGTTGGGACACCTTGCGCAAGCCTAAGTTGACAGGCGGTCCATCGTTACACTAGTTTGATAAGGGTCTTCGACGACACAAAAGTGACCGAAAAAGCCCCCCACCACCACCAGCAATTCCTCCGCCGACAAAGGTTGGAGCTATGAAGCAGTAAGATCGGAATATTTATCTATATAATAAGGATTCTCATATAATGATGATAGAAACGTTACTAGTAGATAGTTTAGGTGATAGAGCTTTCTACCAATGAATTCTGACGCAGTTCTTCATCAAGAGGTGAAGGAAATGTTCCAAACAAAAGATCTGATTCACACCGTAAAACCAACAATGAGATCCGTCCTTCTATATCAGACAGATCCAGGCGAGTGGGAACTAGAGTGGATAGCGAAACGAATGGGAGTGGAGTGACTGCAGTATGGAAATCTAGGCTTTCTCTTTGATTTGTTCTCCCAAAGTTTAGATAGATGAAACCAATTGGTTGGTCGTTGCAGGCGTACGGCTATTCTATTAAAGAAATAATCCCTTTCACATCCGATTTACGCATAGATGCTAGGAAAAACACCCTTTATAAAGCTATCCCTTTCGTTCAAGGTCAAGTAAATGCACATATAATAAGATCCAATGACCTACACAAAGACGCAAGGGCCAAGGAGACCAGAAGAGACTCTTTTTTAAGGCAGGTTTGGTAATTTGTTCACACAAGCAAGAAGGAAAGAGAACTAGATCAACACCGAAAGGTTCCATTTGGATCTCTCGAGACTTTCAGTAGTAGGCTTCTGAAGGAATTTGCTAGGGTGCCGGGCTTAAAAGCACCTACCTTCGAATCTGGGGAACTAGTATGCCATGGTCTTTGCCCGTAATCTACATTGTCAGCATCGGTATCAGGCGAAAAGTCAAAAGAGGACAGGACGTCATTCAATTCACTTGCCTCAGAGCAGGAGTGAATGAGGTTTCTTCCGCTGACAGAAGTAGCTTGACCTTGTTAGACTTGAATTTCATATGTGGAATCACACGAGGGAGAGTCCTATGTGGTTGATCTGAGTCTTCTTAAGTAAATAGAAGTTCTTAGATTTTCCATCTAGAGGAGACTCCGAACCCTTCAGCGCTACTCTACCAGAGCTCAACTGCTCGCTGCTTTGGTTCTTAAGGGGGGAGTACTTAACAGTCTCGGGAGGAAGATCTACAAGGAAGAGAGACTGATGAAGCTGTATCATGACTGGGCGATGCATGTGTTACGCCGCCTACGTTGTGACGGCACGTTTGAACAGCTTAAGCCATTAGTCAATTTAAAAGGCTGTAAAGAGGCATACAGTTTCGACTTAAAGTCGGCCACGGATCGACGGCCTCGCGCCATCATTCGTGAGGTTGTAGCCTCCATGTTCGGACGTCATATTGCGTGGTCATTGGTGGAAGCAGCGGCGCGGGCAGTCTCAAGTAGGCATTATGCCCCCCGTTGGTGCAGAAGCCAACCCGGCAGTTCTTCGCAGTAGGTAAACCGTTGGGTTACTATGGTTACTGGCCGCTGTTCGCGCTATCACATCATGTGAGAGTGGTGTGGCTAGCAACGGAGCCGGGTATATAGCGGTTTGGAGCGGTTTGAGGCCTGTGTGGTTTTCGGCGATGACGTAGTAATCACCGACCGTGGGTGGCTGACGAATACAGAAGTCTTATCTCCTTATTAGGGGTTAGTATTTTGGACTCGAAGTCCTTAGTATCCCGAACGGGTGTTTTCGAGCTCACAAAACGATTCTTTTTATTAAGCAGGGCCGTGTGGATGTCTCTCCGATATCTATGCGTGCCTTGCACTTATGTCGAACGACCCTCGGTCTAGCGACTGTTCGCAGTAGGTATGATACAGATTTAGTATCACACTCCGTTTAGGCAGTGCTGGCTACAGGGTTCTTGCGGCTCTCGGAGCGGGACGACTATCGCGTCGTTGGGAGCGCTTGCGCTTATTCTTGGCGAAACCTGACCGTTGTTCTGATATGGAGTTGGAGTTGAGTGGTGGCTTTACGGGGGGAAACCAATGGATCCATACAGGAGAGAGTACATATATGGGCGGCGCGGCCGTGGGGAGTTCCATTGTCGTTTGACAACTGAGACATAAAAACAGTATTGGCTATTAGGCTTTCTAGTTATCGGTTATATCCTTTTAGTGAAGAGGAAGCAAAGATTTGCTCCCCTAAAGCCGCTCGAGAAGGTGAGAGGTCCATCTGGTGGTATCGTATAAAAGGTCACGGCTGCATTTAGGAGTGATCTTTCCAAAGTAGCGCGTATCTGGCTCAAAAAAAGATGTCAATCTAAAGAACGGAACCGCCCCTCTACGTCGCAGGGCCTGCTTGTGTCGCGCTCTCCACCTAATGGGTCTTCCTCTTCAACCCAACCCTTGTATAAGGAGTGAGCCTTGTATCTTCGACGTAACGGGACGGGGGAGTCCCTCTAACCGACCCCTGCCTTAGGGTTCAGACCTTTCAAAGAACTGACAGAAACTAGCGGAACACAAAGAACCAGAGACAAAGAAAGTGAAGAATGCTCTCATGTCCAAATCTTCCTCACCAACCAAGAGTTATATCAAGCTTGAATAAAGCACACGAGTTCCGTCCCGTGGCACGTCAGATGAACAACTTCTTTCTAGCCCATGGCTTTTGGAACAATGATTGAATGGATCGGGGCCGGTCCGAAGAGCAGGCATATGCCAAAGGTGTAAATACGAGGGCTCTCCCACTAAGACGAAACGCTAATTTCTACCTAACTAGGGTTGCCGGTACAAACCATTCGGGAGCATAGCAATTATATACCCCCCTTAAAGTCGAACCTCTTACGCAAGCGAGGTATGATAATAAGGATTCCACCTTCCCTTTAACTGGTATTAATTTACATGAGAAAAGGAGCACTTACACCGGCCTTTCACTCCATTTTTTGATTTATTCAATTACATACACACAGATGATTAGCCACCTTTGTTCCCAATACAATTCATCGAATGGATGATTTCGCTCGTACAACAACCGGTTTTACTTTTCCATTTCAATCTTGTCCTAAGGGGGGTACACTTAACACCAACCTAATCTCACAATTGTTGAAGAGAGTCTTGCACGAAAATGACCGCTTGCTAAAGCTTCAACTCCAGCTCTAGATTGGTGATTGAAAAGCCACCCCCCACATTCTTCTAAAACTTGATGCTACATTGACGTCAGCTGTGAGACTTGCGTGGTAAAGTATTCACAAAAAGAAGGAATGTCACTGCCTGATTGCTAACCAATGAGAGTTCCTAGGGGTCAGCGGCATTCTACACATCAAATATAGAGAAGAAAAGAAAGAGAGGGGAAAATATGCTGGGGAGATCTCCGGGTTGCGGGCGGCCACAAGAGCTTGTTCAAGCTTTGGCATTTGATTGTCAAATATTGCCTTTGTTTAATGCAAGTTCCGTTGACCTTCTATTGTATTGTGAATCATTAGACAAAGGATCACTTGATGTTCATAAAGCTGCAGATCCACTTTTCTTTGTTTGAAACCCCGCGGAAATATACCTTCATAATTGTTTCTTGTAAAGAACCCCTTACATGTAATACATTGCATTCTTGTTTATCCGTTCAGGTGCGATGGATTGGCCGATTCTAGAACAATGGTACGTGGAGACTGCTCGGCCTCAACATTCAAATTCAAGGAAGGACCTTTCAAAGGTTCTAGCCGGATCAACTGATGCGGAAGGGTCTCTTTCGGAGTCCGATTCTTGCGTTGGAGCCTTCCTCCTAGCCTTTTTGGTTCACTTGCTACACTCATCCTAATCCCATTCACAGTGGCATGCCTTACCCTATACAGCAACGACTTCACGCGGGGATAACACATATTCCCGATTCTTAGGGATAGGGAGGAAGGGCATAGAGCACTACTTCCTTGTTATACCGTTCGTGACCAAGGGAATTGGTCACTTCAGAGTCAGTTAACAAAGTCTCAGTGCGGGAAGTGCAAGAAGGGGTAGTAAATGGCAGATGTCGACTCCTCAGATAAGAAATCAAGGAAGGGATATCACCTAGCGCCGACCAAATCTGGAAATTTGTTAAATCGCAGTCCCAAAATAGGCCTTTGTCTATGCCCCAATTCCTTTTTTAAACAGACGAGACAGACAAAAATGATATATATTAATATAATATATTCTGGAAATCCATTGAAATCACTGGCTTCAGAGTCAATGTTGGCTTACTGAATACCAAGTCGAGTCTTATGCCGGTCGTCATATTGTTTTCACGGCGGCCTTTGCTGCTGGATTGGTCGTTGGTAGCTCTCGACCTCTATGAACACTGCTTTGCATCCCCTAGTGCTATTTTCGCTATTTCCTTCTGTATTTTAAGAAGGTCCATTATCTTTAACAAGAAGGGCATTTAATGCATGATCTACGACCAACCTTCCGTCATTTCTTCCAACCAATCCAATGAATTAGCCCATTCCTTCCCTTCCTTGATTATAGAGAACTTACTTTCGATACTGATTGATGTTACCCCGGATCGGTTGATTCTACGAATTCGGATCTGGATGCGTAGGTGTAGCTTTGTTCTCGATTGCTTTTTCCAAAATGCATTTCACATTCGAATTCATTTCTATTTACAGAAAAGGGGTGAGAGAACTGCTCTCGCGACCACAAGAGCAGAACCGAGGCGATCAGGAGCAGAGAACGAGTAGGTTTGACTAAACAAACCTACCAAAATGACTACAGTGATCAATATCTTGCTTCGTCTTCGGAACTGTTGTGAAGTCTCTCTCGAAACCCTATGATGGAATGCAAGATCCAACTCAAACTCTTCACTGGCACCCTTGGCCCTTGAGCCAACTCTAGTAAGCTCTTCAATGGCACTCCGTACCTGGGGAGTACGCTACCGGAAATGCTCTTTCTCTTTCTTTGCTTCTGCTTCTTGCCTGCTTTCGTTGTCTTCTTACAGATGTCCCTTCCCTACTTTCAGGGTTGTCTCGAGTGCATATGTATCTCAAGTCAAGTGTGATGAGAATCAGGCCGAACGTAGTTCAAAATTCAAACTTTCTTTCTTGTCAAATTACCTACCTCGCTGAGAACCATATTGAGCCTACTTAAATAGCTTAGTGAATGGCAAGCTAAGTTGCCCACTAGTTTGGCTCTACCCCAAATCAGTTTTATATTACATTATATATGAAATGACTTCCTTTTAGTAAGAAATGGGAGTATGGGGCGACGATATGCCACTTCTAGGATGAAAGAGAAAATAGATTTCAAGTAGGCTATGAATTAGCATTCAATGAAATCAGTGCGAAGAAAAGAGTACCGCATCTCGGACATAGAGGAATTAGTTTCTGAGGCTTAGTTTGAATCGAGAGATGTTTTCAGATGGGGTTGTTGTGGATGACCTTTTTGGCACTGACTGAGCGATGGTTGGGAGAGAATAGAGTCCACTCCCATTGCGGGAAGGTGTATAGGACATACAGAATCCTTAAAAGAGAAGGGCAGCGCGGTACCACGCTCTTGCTCGTAGTTTGACTCCCCTATGCATCCCGACTAGGGTCTCACAAACGTGCACTTCCCTTATGCATCCAGCCGCTTCACTAATGTGAATAGGTTATACAGAAGGTTGGGTTGGTTCTCTACTCTTATGCGCGCTCCTTCTTCGAACCTTTTGGTATGTATTGCCCCCTAACTATAGATCATATCCACCAGACGAGAAACTCAATTCCGCACTGCTGCTGAGTCGTCGGACTTATCCGCCAAGGGATTCGTGTCATTTCTGTGGATTGCGTTGGGGGAAATCTACCAAAGCTAGGCAGATAGATAGACTCCTTTCCCGCTGCTAGGGGAGAGCAAGAAAGAAAAGCGAATTCTGGTTTTTTAACCAGCGCCCCCTTTTGGGTATGCAGGTACTAAGAGTCCTCTCACTACCAACCAGCAGACATCATCTGGCTGGGTCTTGCCGGTATCAACAACGAACCAAATGTAAACAGCAACTCACTATGGCTCTTGGCCCAGATAACGTCCTAGGCGTAGCGTAGGGGAGATCGGAGCAACATGGAACGCCTAGACTTTCTGCAGTAAGTAGATCGAGAGGTCGTTCCGCCCCTTGTCCCCGAATATGGGTAATATGTTCTCAGTAAATGTTGCGTAAATCTGACCTAGCTGGCGAGCGATCCCAGTTCGCGACAGAGAACAAGACAGCAAGCGGGCGTACCTTTGTTCGCTTCTTCTCCACCAAGCACAGAAGTTTAAGGATAACTGTAGGTCGGTGGCTACCTAAGGAAACTCCGATTCGATCTGCCCCCCGGCTGGGAGGCATCTACCTCATCCCGATCACAAGGAGAGGTTCACCATGATGGGGGGTACTTCTTTTTTGTCCTTCCGGAAAGAATGAAATGCATAGGGGACCATCCTTTTGTTGCGGCATGCTCCTCAGATTTACGGATTCGCAGGGGGCATCAGGCCCTACTTATAAAAGACAGCGAATCTTTTGATTTATATATCTTTCTTATATTATATATATAAGAGAAAGATATTTGATATTCTATTATAGGCCAGCTTGACAAGCTACCCTTCCTCTTGATGATCTGAGGTGCGAAGAGAAAGATCTCTTTTTTATGACTTCCACTTCTCGATCCCGGCCCAGAAAAGTGACCGACCATGGCCTTATTGATGAATGAAAGAAAGGGTTTATGAGCCCTAGCCCCGTAAGCCCACACCTGTGTAGAGTAGATCGTTCAACACCTGCGGCACAAACCCATTTTTGACCTATTGGTCCTAGTATCATAGGCGACCGAACGGCCGCCCCCTAATTACTAGACCGACCTGCTATAATAATTCCATAAACACCTAGCGAAGATATGGCAAACAAATAAAGTAGCCCTATGTTCGGATCTGACAATACCATACCATAATCAAAAGGTACAACGGCCCGAGCGACCAGACTTAACATAAATGTAGCCACTGGAGCCATTCTAAAAAGGGAGAAATTAGCACTACTTGGTGAAATAGGTTCTTTGAGAATCAATTTCAAACCATCTGCTAGAGGTTGTAACAATCCAAACGATCCCACTACATCAGGACCCTTTCGACGTTGCACAAAAGCCATGACTTTACGTTCAGCTAGCACTAAAAAGGCTACTCCTAGTAGAAGTGGTAGAATCATTCCAAGTATTTCAGCTGGAACAGCTATGTACATTTGAGATTTTCTATTCACTCATGATCTGGCCTGGTCGACCCAATCATGATATTTCACTCATGATCTGGCCTGGTCGACCCAATCATGATATTGAAGG